AATCGAAAGAAAAGTGCAAATTAAAGAAACGCCGCGCGCGACGAAGTGGCAATTTACGATTCTCTTGCCCGTCTCTCCCGTATAAGTGACGATTTTCATGCTTTTTCGTCCTGCAGCTCGTTTTTCACTGAAAGGCGGGCCTTGAAGGCGGAGTCTGGAGGCGGAGTCACTGGAAAAAGGAGGCGTCACTGAACCTATATTGCGCTATAGCGCCCCTCCCTTACAATTTTTTGCCGCGAAACCGGTACAAGGTTGTTCGTCGCGGACCACTTTGCCCTCCCAACGCCATATTTTCAACCTCAATACCCTGGCTCGGACCTGGCTTTGAAGGCACATGGCTAACTGAGTCGAACCATTTCGTGAAAGTGTGAGATAGGCATTCCCGCAGCCTCACAAGACTGCACCACTATCTCTCAGAAGAAGCTGTCAAAGAAATCTCGCCTTCTATGGCTTACGCCTTGTTACGGCAGTGCATCCGCTGCGAAATCCATGCGGAAAGTAGCGGTCGCCCTTCGTCGCTTGGTCACTCGTCCCAGAGCACAGTGTATTTCTAGTGCATGCTTGCAGAATGTTGCAGTCAAGTGCAGAAAGGAACGAAATTTACTGGTTTCCCGTTCCTGGTGACAAGAGAGACCATAACCCTCCAGGGTATATCTGGATAATTTTCAAGAGTGAGCGAAGCTTCTCTGAAGAGCAGGACTTCTACTAGCAGGCGGAGCTATCTGTTACAGCCTGAAAAAGCAAAAATGTAGAAGAAAAGATCCAAATTCCGCAGAAAGACTCAAAAGCGGGCGTGCTCAAAGGAGAAGGATTTGCAGCACCTAGTCTAAGGAGATTTTCCCGTCTTGGTTGAAAAGTGTCCGATTTAAAATGAAAATGGTATAAATAATATAATAACTAACTGAATAAAGAAATCAATGTAATGGAGTGAAATTCGTGTCCATTGCAGTCTGGGAACTTGTTGATCAGCACGAGCAAATCCGTCGATTCGTCGACACCTGATGGGATCTTATTGAACGGAAACGACAAAGAGTCCTTGTCCCTGAACCTGGTCGATTTTGAATTCAGCTTTTATAACTACAGGTTTGTCTTTTTTTATTAGTATCAATCAATAAAAATTAGACGGCAATCGATATTAAGGGGCTTTGACTTGGCTAACTATTTCTGCGCCTCGGCTATTGAACACAATCTTCGCGAGTATCCACGCTATCGAATCGATCTAAACAAACTGCATAATCGATCGATGAAAATGGAGTTTTGTAAGGAGTACGTTCGAGAAGCCAAAGAGGTATTGCTTATTGATTTTTTTAAATTATTTTTTGAATATCAATCTGGGTATATGCTGTGTGGCGCATTCGAAATGCTGACTATTGTCAGCAAGCTTTCATTAAAAAACCCATTGAAAAGTCATCGAAAAGGCCTGTGCACGATAGCCATGTGGGCGAAGTCAGTCCTATAATTGTACCTTCCTCGTTGTCTCGCCCCTCCCTTTTACCGTATAGAAAGGAGAGGCGCACCAATAAGAGGGGACAATATGACCCCACCCATTTGAAAGGGCCTTTATATTCTGATATTCTCAGAAGACGAATGTTTCAGCTGAACATCTCTATTAAATCGGACCTTAGCCTTCTACGGGAAATCAATCAGTTCGAACCGGTCGTTAACTTATTCTGGGCTATATTCAATCTATATTGTGAAAAGGTAAGCACTCGTCTTCCATTCAACTCTACTTTTTTAAAATTCATATTCAAAACTAACCATTCTGCTGAAAATTCTCTTCAGGACACTTTGGCAATAATGGATTGCGAAGCATACGCTTGTGACCGACTTGCTCTTTACTATCAATCACGAAGTATTTTATGTGATCATCAACTGTAGAACATCCATTTATTTTGTTAATATTATGTACATAGTTGTAATAAAGTTGTGAATCTAGTGGTGACATGGTTTTAGGATACGCCGTGCATATGTCTCTCAAAAGGTACCGGGATATGTAGATAAGATATTCTTGCTGATTTTCTGAGAAGATCGTCCAGTAAGATTCAACAGTGCGTTCATTAAACCACCTTTGAACCAGCATAGACCCGGCTCTACCAATCTCTGTATTCCACAAAGTCACTTCTACAGTACTGGGACTGTAGAAGTGACTTTGTGGAATGCAGAGATGATGAGCCTTCGCTTCCAATCGATCAGCTGTTAAAGACGAACGGATGATCGCTTCAGTACTGTGCGGTCCTTCTTACAGTCCTTCTGAGAGGGCTTACTCCTTTTTACTCCTTAGTTGCTCCTTT